TGAAGGTTTGTAGTGGTTGGTTTTGATCTGGATTATTTTGTACTCAGTTTAAGTTCTGCAGTAAAGCTGTTTCTTAGAGTAAACGTAGTTTCCAAGTCCTTCATTTGGGTCCAACACACAGTCAGCCTTGATAAGTGTATATACAAGTGATCACTGTGAGCCAAAAGCTCAGGCTTCAGACTGGCGTAAATTATTCTTTCCAGTAGGTTTTTCTTCACGGTATGACATCATATACAGTGGATGTCCCTCAGGACTTACCCATCTGCTGTTCAAGCTATTGTTTACAAGGGGCAGGCAATCAGAAGCATCAATCTATCTTTGGATTGTGGGAAGCACAGGGAAAGCATGCAAACTCCACATAGAAATGCCTCTGGCTGACTGCTCACTTCAAACCTAAGACCTTCTGGCTGTGAGGCAACAGTGCTAATGACAACGGCACCATCTCAATATAAGGCAGATAAGCATTATTGTGACCAGTGAATCGTGCAGAGCTACTCTTGTGGTTTTGTAGAATATATACATGGTGACAGCGACAGCTGAGTATAATGTACCTTGTTCATCCACCACTGGCAGCGCAGACACCCGCCTCTCCACAAATATAGAGAGGGCATCATAAAGCGATGCTGTTTGCTGGACAGTGGCGATGTTCCTGAAAGTTCCTATCCCAAGTTCCTGGATCGGCCTCTTTGTGAATGCAGGCTTGGGAGGTTTTTTCCCCTAAAAAAATCCAAACACCCATATTTGAAAAACAAAGTATCATGGTACTCAAGGCTACAAAAAACATCATAACTAAAGCTTTTGCTCACAAATATATGGAGGAACTTGAGGATTCTTTTGTGGGTCAGAATGTGCAGGACATTCCCAGACTCTGGATCGATTACGGGCAGCCTGTGGATTTTGTATCTGAGTAAGGAATAGATGGCTTCGAAGAGGCTGGATGGAGAAGAGATAAGAAGAGGAATGCCTGCCAACTGGAATTTGAAACAGAGGTGCCTCAGAGTGTTGTGTCCACTCACCTGGCCTCTGGAGAGATACTAATGAGGAAGTTATTGGAATACTGCAAATAAACATCTAAACAGAAGAGGAGAGAAATGGCTCAGATGAATTTCATAGACCTCTGGGCACAGATGATGCCATTCATTCCTGCTTGCATATTTACTTCGAAGGGAATCACCTCTCCATGTTTCTATCTTGTGGCTCTCAAGCTCATACATCTGAACCTTAAAAAAACAAAGACGACAGGCATTTTTATAGTTGCTAGCAAGAAAATAGGAACTTTTCTGTCATTTAATAGTTTATCTGTCACATGGGTGTAGTATGAATGGCTGTGCGGGAGGTCTTTATCCGTAGGACGAGTTGTAAAATTTACGAAAGTTAAAAGTCAGAAATGTATGCCCTCTTTCACATGTTTCTAAAACGTCCAGTGGGCCAGATTGGAGTTTTTCCTGGGCTGATTGTAGCCCCGAGTCCTTTGTTTAACTCTACAGTAGGGGCATCCAACCTGAGTGGCTTCAAACTGTGGGAATTTAGTGCTCACCATGGGGGACTTGTAATAGCAGTGAAGGATGTTGATGAAATCTGTAATAGTCAGCATACCTGTGGCAGAGGAGGATTCACATTCCCATTATTACCAGTGAGTGAGCCCAGTCTACCATATCTGTCCCATTAATCCGTCATCTTACCCACAAATCTCTGCAGCTTGCTGTCCCATAGTGGTGCAGCCCTCAAGCCATTTGCCACCAGTGCATAAAAGGCTTTTTTCACCTTTTGGGGTTAAAGATTTTTCAGTCAGTGATGTTTTACAGGTAAATAACACTACTCTGTGACAATTCAATATGAAAGTCTCGATGTGCAACAGCTCATGGAAAAGCTTCAGGCTCACTTGTAGTGTGGTATCAAATATGACCAGTTTACAGCTGGTTGGAATGGCATCATAACAGCGGTGACTTTTCATGAATTTCATGTAGACTGTGGCATCAGCCTCTAGGAGAAAATACACCAGCTGGTCACAACACACTGTTTGAACAGGGTTCAGCAGTTATAGACGAGGACATATTCATGCGTGCACACACACAGCTACAAAACGAAGGAAAGTGCTAACAGCACAAAGCCAACAAATGCAAATACACATATGCACATTTCCATGCACAAATCCAAACCCAGACAACTGCCAGGCATTGTACCTTGACTCTGTATTTCCTGCTTCTTTTCTGGGAATGACACCTATAACATATATCACTGTCAACAAAATCCCCATGGCTACTCATTTCCTTGGTTTCAAAAATATTATCAACCTCCCAGACACCCCCAATCATATACATTTCACCTGTGAACGAGGCTCCATGACTCTGTCTTGTGTCCATGAAAAAGTGGTTTTCAAAGCAGGAAACTGAGACCGTTTGTTAGCCTTTTCTACAAAGCAGCTGGGTCTATATTAGGAGTTCTCAAATGGTATGTGTCAAGCCAGGAGTGTAGGGGAGGGGTAAGAGAAGCTTGGCATAGAGTCAGGGGGGAGGGACATCCCATATTCAACCAAAACCAGACATCTGTTTTCCCCCTCTGTAAAAATGCTCATCCAAAACGTAAGGCTTATCCTGGCCCTTAAAAACATGGAATAGCTTTTCAACTGTTATGGGATCACTTAGTGCAATCCCATAAACCCTCATTTCTTCATATTTTGCCAGGAAAGTGTGATATACAAACATACATATATATATATATGGAAATACAGAATATAAGGCAAAAATAGTTTGTACAATTCTAAGAAGCTCGAAAGTCAATATTTGGTCAGTATTAGACTACCGTTTATTCAGTCTGAACTCTCTTAGGCAGCGTTCTTGTCATGTCTTTATGTAGTCTTCAGGAATAATTCACCAGGATTCTTGAAGGACATTCAAAACTCTTCTTTGATTGTTTCTGCCTTTTCTTCTGTTCTCTGTCAACATGATCCCACGCTGCTTCAATAATGTTGAGGTCCGAGGTCTAGGTAGGCGAATTTATCCGTGTGTGTTTTCCTACCCAGGTACGCTTTTACTGCATTGGCAGTGTGTTTGTGATAAATGAACCCACTGCCAATCAGACACTTTTCAGATGGTATTGCACGGTGGATTAAAATATGTTCCATCAATTTTCACCACATATCCAACACCACTGGCTGTAATGCAGCCCCAAACCATGACAGAGTGTTCTGCACATGGCTATAGATACTAACTGTTATACCTCTTTCCTGACCTCCTCCATAAATACTGAGGATGAGTTGAACAAAAAATAAATAAATAATTGAAAAATCAAATTTGTTCCCCTTCACTTGTCAAGTTTCCTCAAATTTTTAAGGATACACTGCACCCCCTGCCAAGACATTTCAGGTAAGAGCTCTTTGGGAATTACTCCAAAATACCATTTAATACCTGTAAGAAGAAATGGGAATAAATAGTGTGTTTTTGCAGTAGGCTGCAAACAAAGTGACTCAAGTTGTCTGTTATGTCTAGATACAACATTTGTTAATTCCTTGAGTTTGGTGCCCTTATTTAATGACATTGGTCAGAAGTGGTTTAGTCTGTTTTCTCTCCTTTAAAGGTTAAAAGTTCAAACATACAACAAACATACTGTTTCATATTTACTGAGATTCAGCGTGGCTTCATTGTATGTTGACACAGAATTATATACAAAGTATCTCAAACAAATGCGGTCTTTATTCTTTTTTTTGCTACACATTTTACAATATTTGCATTTTATAACATGTACAAAATTTAAGGGGTTCACGATCCAAAGTGTATCAAATTCAAAATTCAGATGAATTTGTTAAAGGTTCAATTACAAAGTAAATGTAGATTTGTAGCGGTGTAGATAAAAATGACCATTTTCCCTTCTGGTGTTGAAAACATGACAATAATGCAGTAACAATGCAAGATGATTTTCTACATCAATGAAAATGGAGCCAAAAAGTGCAAATCTCCCGCAACAAAGGAAGGTTGACGACGTTTTCCTTTAAGACAACACATGCAAAAACAAAAAAAGCTAGAGACTGCATGAAATCACAGGAACACATCCTTTACAAAGGTGTTCCACCTGGCTAAGACCCTGTTACAGGAAAGTGACGTAAGTATTATATTTTGTTGCCATATCACATCTGGTAAAAAAGAAAAAAGACAAAAATCAGCCACCATAACCAGAATGTGTGGAAACGGTGTGGCATGTGACAGTAACACAAAGACACGGTTTCAACTGTCTGGTCTCCTGTCCAACCATTTCTCTTCTCAAACCTAGAAGACAACCGGATTTTATAACTAGCTATCAGTGCCAACAGTATGTGTATGTGAATGACCAGTGTCTATTGCAGTCCTCAAGCTGCATCAAAGAAAGGCTATATGGCTACACGAAACGAATATGAATAAGAAAATTGAGCCTGGTTGAAGTCCCTTCTTCATTAAAAAAATAAAACAACTTACTGTGAAACTTTCAACTTTCATATATGCTTGGTAACCACCACACACATTCATTAACCTGCCAAATGTGAACAGCTTAACGTGGACATGAAACACTACATGTATAAAGGCTAATTTACACCATTGAGCCCTGCTCTCAAAAACTGACGTAGATGTAACTGTCTGTGAAACTGGCTTTAAAAATAAAAAAGTGCCTAAATTGAAAGTTTTTAGAATATGTTTAGCGCCATCTTGTGTGAGTACAGAACGTTGTGTCACTGTAGTTCATGTAAGCTAACTGGTAACAGAAACAGTAATTCAGGGGAAAATAAGGACACTTAAAATAAAAATCAGTTTAAGGGGATCACTTTTGTGCTGCCCCTGGCTGCAGCAATGAGATTTATGTTAGAAATGAGGCTATACTGTCTACTTTAACTCACCATCTCTTAAGATGTAAATGGCTCGTTGTTGTTTGGCTAGCTGCACCGAATGGGAAAATCCACCTGCTAGCTGTAAGGGCAGGCTTTTAAAGCTCTTTTTAAACGAGAATAGTGTGGAGGAGAGCCTGTTTGAGTCAGCTGGAGGGTGTTTCAGCAGGCCGATGACCGGAAGTCAGAAACTCTGATTTTTCCTCGTCTGGTCGTGTGTACCAAGCGGCACAATCAGCTGATGTGATCAGCGTTATTTTATGCATTTTTTAAAATCTTACAAGTGAGGAAAAGTAAGTGAAGGAGATTGTAATGTGGATGTAACCTGTGATATAAACTGTTTAGCTGTGCTTGGGAAAAGACAGGACATTTTATTAGAGAAAACAGCGCTGATCACATCTTGCAAACATCTGCTTTGTCAGCTGATTGCACAGCTTGGTGAGAAAAAGCTGTAGTGTTGGACTCCAGCTTGCCAGTCTGGTGATTCAAACAGGCTCTCCTCCACACTGTTCTCATTTATAAAATGCATCAGAAACCGAAACATAACGACTAACAGGTGGAGTTTCCTGTTTGAGTGCAGCCAGCCAAACTACCTAAAACCACTTACTGCTTAAGAGACAGAGAGTGACAGTGGAGTCGATTTGTTAGCATGAAACTCATTGTTGCAGCCAGTGGCAGCACAAAAGTAAACCCCTACACTGATTTTTAGTTTTAGTGACCCTGTTTTCCCCTGAGTTATTGGTTCAGTTATTAGTCAACTAACGCAAGTCTTTTTTACTGCAACCAACCCGACGATATCACGGTCTATATTGACACAAGATGGCGCTAAACATGTTTTATAAACTTTAACGTCACTTAATTCGTAAATCCAGCTTAACAGACAGTATTACATCCATGTCAGTTGTTGAGAGCAGGACTCCATCGAGTAAATTAGCCTTTACACATACAGTGGTTCATGTCCACTTTAAAAATTACCGCTGTGACACAGCAACTCGGAACACATTCAATTCAAAAGCCCTACAACAGCAAGCGACAGTGGCGAACTCTTAAAACAGAAGGGTGATAATGTGAATTTAGTTGCTGCAGAGAATTAAATGAACCAAACTTTACAACACTTGTGATTAATCAAGCATTGTGGTATTTGAATTGACTCAAATTTACCCTGCAGTATTTAACTATATAGAAATTTCCTCCCTGTGAACCTCTTGGAAAAGTGCCCAACTCCTCTTGTATTTTCTCCTGTATTCTAGATCTGGAAATGTAAAAAAAACAAACAAGCCTTGAAGCAGTAGATGAGTGACAACAACAATGCTGGTTTCATTTCCAGAGTCCATTACTACAGGATGAATAGCTCTGCCATTTCTAGCCAGGCATAAGCAGAGCTTGGACTTTGTCAACTGGCAGCATAGACTTTGGGTGGCAAGGTCGCAGCTGTACAGGAGGAAAAATATCTAGATGAGAGTCCACACTTGGCTTGGTAGCACCGAGGAGGCTGGAGGAGAACCACGACAAATGAGGCTGATGGTTTTCAAAGGGGCCGTGAGGGAGGACTGATGAGGTGTTTCGAAGCCCGCAAGCAAGAGGAGGGAGTGTTGCGAGACAGCCAGGACAGATGAAGGACACAGGAGACCAGGTCTGGGAGGCTTCCACATCAGGTTTCGTTTCAGGATGTATATGACCCATCGAGGCAAGCAGGGAGCCCCAGAGACACAATACAGATGTTTGTGTGGAAGATAATGGAGGCCTTTGACTGTGGTGTTGCCTGCTTCCAGGTGAGCCAGTCTGACGGTTAACACTCTTGTTGGCCAGAACACAACAAGGGAGGCGGCGGGCTGAGGAAGAGGTTTCTGGACTCAGGTTGGAAGCCAAAAAGTGGGTCAGGCTGATCTCATCTGGCGGAAGAAGAGACTGGCCTCCTCTAGAGAGACTGAGCTGGTGAATCACAGCACTGGTGGCAATAAGGCCAGCCACACTGGTTAGATAGACCAGGCCAAGCATACAGGATACCTGAAAATGAATTGAGATGAAGTCTTATGATGAAACGCAGAACTGCATTAAGGAAAACCCATTATGTTTTCTTTATTTTCTGTCACATATACACTGCTACAATGAAGAACGCTGATATTTAATAGGCTCAAAGTTTAAATAATGAGGTCAACCTATGTATATTCACTATGAGCCAAAAGAGATGGTACTCTTGGATGTCTACGAAGATATTCGTCAGCTCAGACACACAGCTCAACGAAGCCCCACCGACCTTTTCTTCAAATCATTTGTTTGAGAGGTGCAGCCAATCAGACAAAGAGTGGATTTAAGGGACAGCAAACTGATGGCTTATTTCAGACAAGAAATTGACTGAGTGCCCACATGATGGCCCATAAGAAGGTAAAAAAATATCCAAATAGCTTTTGCCCCCTAAAGAGCAAGGGCTATACTAAAACTTTGATGTTTTATGATGTTTTTATTGTAATACGTCAGCCTGTTATGGGATCATTGTGACATCGCAGGGCGTTGTATTGAAAAAATAAAAAGTGTGTTAAAGAGCTCTCTCCATGCCCTTTAATATAATGCATTACTCATTATGGTTTCTCTGAGCTGTTTTTTCCCCCAAAGTTAAAGTTGACCTTGGGGAAAAAAACAACCGGGACAGACAAACAAACATGGGGCGATCGTGGCTCAAGAGTTGGGCGTTCACCTTGTAATCGGAAGGTTGCCGGTTTGAGCCCCGGCTTGGACAGTCTCGGTCGTTGTGTCCTTGGGCAAGACACTTCACCCGTTGCCTACTGGTGGTGGTCAGAGGGCCCGGTGGCGCCAGTGTCCGGCAGCCTCGCCTCTGTCAGTGCGCCCCAGGGTGGCTGTGGCTACAATGTAGCTTGCCATCACCAGTGTGTGTGAATGGGTGGATGACTGGATATGTAAAGCGCTTTGGGGTCCTTAGGGACTAGTAAAGCGCTATATAAATACAGACCATTTACCATTTTTACCAAACTGATCCTAATATGTACTTCCTTCCATTCGAGGAAGACAAAATATGGAACTGGAAATGGGCATAAAAGGTCTCCTTCAATACTTTGTGCACTTTGCTTGGTTGTAAAACTATAAAATGGATCAATTAAAAAAGCCCTTAAATATAAAGGCTAAATATTAACGTTGTAAAAATATGTGTCCTCTTCCTACCTTAGTAAAGTGCTGGTAGATGGCTGTGAGGGCTTGACTCCATACAGAGTGCTCTAGCAGCACACAGAGGTCAGTGTAGGTGAACCAGCCGCGTTTCATCCCCTGCCGCTCCGCAATGCTGGAAATACACATCACAAACAGATATATTTGAAATGAAAGGCTTAAATCAACCATGTTGTGTTTTGTAGGCTAAATGTAAATTCTTGTAAATGCTGCATTTTAGTGTTGAGTTACAACAAACCTGGTCTCCAGTTGACTTAGTAAATCAAAGAAGTCATTCGGGTCAGCGAAGAGGCTCCACTCCTTGAAGATATGACAGGAAGGTTTGGACACATCATTTGAAGCAAATGTTCGTGCAGGCACACCTTATTTACACACGCACACACAATCACTTACAATGGCGTTCAAGAAGTTCATCTCCAGGTTGTTGACAGTTTTGACATCCAACTTCCCAGCTGCTCCCCATTCATCATTGAACACCTCCTCTTCTTCACCTTCATCATACAGGTACTTGCTGGCAACCATCTAAATCATGAATAAAAGTTTACAGTATTTCATGGCACTATCTCGACATTATGCTGGCTTAAAAAAAAAAAAATCATAACAAAATCTCACTTAGAATGAACGTCTGAACCCTAAAAACATACCATGGAGATCAAGAAGAGGTCAGAGGAGGAGATCTTTTGGAGGTATTCAGGGTTTCTATGTCTAAGCCTTTCTATGTAAACAAGAGCCAGCATCATGGCACACGGAGAAATGCAGGCCTCCCTGAAACAAAAACAAATTGTTTTAGGGACATGATTTAGGGACAATCGCCCATTTCTAAAAGAATGAATAATATCTGTCTACCTTTCACTTAGTACAGCACAAACCTGGCAACATGGGCAGCATACTTCTTCTGGAGCTTTCGTATTGGGCTTGGGGCAGACTTTTGGAAGATTTCGACGGCAATATCTGAAAGCAAAAAGTCAGAAAAAGTCAAAAAGAAAGTGGGCTCCAAGTGTGATCTTTCTAACCCTCTTTTATCAGTGGTTCTGATCATTAAAAAAAAGACATTGTTTAATATACAAACTATGCTTTAAACACCTGAAATTTTATTAACAACAACATTAAACTGTCTTATAATAAGTCAGAAAGAAGAATTCATCCGGAACAGATTACTTCTAAAGCAGAGCCAAAAACTTTATATGTATAATAAATTTGGCTAAAGCTTTAAGTGACAGTAGACGCTTTGCTTACCTGTAACAGGGCAGGAAAGGGCATCTAAAGAAACATCATTGTCCAGGCCATAATATAATCGCTTTCTCACTCTTTCGGTCAATTTCTGGTGTCCAGGAAGAAACTATACGAAACACAAAATCCCAAATTAGGTATATTAGCTTGACTATTATGGAAACTGTTGGGTGAACTTAAGCTGCTAGGCGATATCAACAAAGAAAAATAAAACAATTAAAAATGATACAAAAAATAAAAAAAAACAAGCTTAGCATATTTAAACCAATGCTAAAATGCTAACAGCAGAGAGTAGCTCTTGTTTACCATAACTGCTGCTAGGCTTGGGCTGGCCCGCAGCTCGTCGGCGGAAGTCTAAAATAACAGCTACCACTAGCATTATGCTATCCACGGACGCTTGCATACCTTAAGGTTTTTAAGATTTACACATGGTAAGACGATTTGTACAGGTGAATACGTATCACACAGAAGAGTAAAGCATCCGTCTTCGCCTACTCGGCCAATATTTTGGGACAGGAGCTTCAAAGTTTACTCGCATAAGTCAGCTAACGCTAGCTAAAGCGCCTAGCCTTAGCTAGCGTGGTGGTAACTCAACAACTTACCGTGAACTCTTGGAAATCCGAGAACTGAAATGTATTCTCGTTAAATAAAGCGTCGAAATCCATATCTACGACAGGTTAAACATTAGTCCGCCAAATAATGAGAAAAGGACAACTTGGCCTGGCTCCCTCCTGTTTGGTAAAGCTTGCAACGCCCTGACGGAGGGACACAGACGGTGACAGCTGAAACCTCCAGCTGTTTCCCTCTCTTTCCGGGCACATACAGATGCTGGGACTCCAGGGGGCGCAGTCTGCCGCTGTTACACGAAAGTTAAATGCAGGTCAAAAGTTTTTCTTCCATTTTGTCCTATTTTATTTTAATTTTTTGAGTATATATGGCCTATTTAACCCTTCGATGAAACCACAGCCTTAGAAACTTGAATTGTTGTTACTGTAACTGAGCAGAATTCACTGAAATCAAGCCATCAGTTGCAAAAAATTCACATGGTATGGCATGACTTACCAAAGATATACACCTCAGTTAATTCATTATAACACACAGTTCAGCCCATAATAATAATTTCCTGAATCTATCAGTAATGTGATATACTACCACCTTAATATTAAAAAAAAAAAAAAAAACTAAACTGGACAGGAAATTGTTTTAATTAAAAACCAAAAAAGTGGAAAACATATCATTTATTGCTCATGTGTACACAATGAAATGTAATATGAATATGAAATATTTCCACAAAACTATAACTATGAACAACATACTTCGTGAGGTAGATACAAGACAGAACATTAACTTACTTAGAAGTGTATGGCTGTTCTTACTTAATAATTAAACATCTGTTACTGCATAGACATTTGATTTTAAGACATCTTAATTCAGATATTTTCACTTGTTAATTCAGCAAAGGCACATATAAATAATGCTATTGCTATGTCATCATTGAAGAAAATAAAATATTTATTTTTAATCAGTGTCACAGGAAACACTGATGATAAGTGCCCGTTGTTTTATTTCCTTAATAAATGGAGATGTACATCAATGCATTACCAGCTCTTCTATCCTGCTTTATCTTCTGCCTAGCTGATGACCTAAAGCCTCAATGTGCAAATACGCTTTTCTAAAAGACTAGTGTCACTTTAAAGAACAACACAAATTCAGCAAACAAAAACTTAAAATAACGAAAAAAAACTAAATCCCTGATGGCATGCATGTAATCTATTCTTATCCACAAATCATTCACAAGGTTTCACTAGTATCTCAGTGCACTAAGATGTAGTGTCAAGGCTGAGTTCCCTTTCTTATGCCTCAGGTCATATTATTGCTCCAGAGTCGAGGCAGAACTATATGATCACTGCAGTTTTTCATTAAAAATAAATAAAAATTAGTAAGGTGATTTTCATGAAACTGGCATCATAGAGCCATGAATAGAACAAAAAGTCTCAAACTGAGCTGAGCAGTCTGAAGCCTGTGCTTTTGGTCTCCTGTATACGTTAATCTCTGGCTGTCTTTACATGAGAATCCACAAATAGTATATCTATGAAAGAAAAAGCGCAATAGGTCCTCTTTTAAAACTG